CAGCTTACTGACATGCAAATGCTGGTTCTTCCAGCTTTTGGAGTTTGCAGTGGCAGCTCTCTGGCAGTAACTCGCTTCCTGTGAGCTACTGTTTATAGAGAAAAGCTGCAAAGCAAAACAGCAATTGGGACCACAAGGTGACTCAGCCCGATCTTGAACTCCTTTGCCTTTCTTCAGTATGTGCTGGCAGACCAAAATAATCAGGACAGGCAGAAGCAAGTGCAAGTAACTGAGAAAGTCCCAGACCCTTTTAGAGGACACCTACGATGCAAAGCCAACCTACCACACAGAAAGATACTTCTTTTAATGAAAATACAGAGATCATTGAAGAAACTGGTTTTGGTCAAGGACAATAAATGTGTTTAAAGCATGATTACAATAAAAGAATGTGAAATTAAAGGCTTAGCATTAGACTGTACAACACATACCTCATCTCCAGAAAGACTGACTTTCCCTTTCTCAAATTAAGAAAATCATAGTCTGTGTCTCCAGTGGGGGGAAAAAGCACCATGACTGGGTCTCGCCCATAAAACTGAGTGGGTAAAAAAAAAAAGCAAGCACGTTTGCCCTTTGCCATGAACAGCAGCAGGTAAAATTGACTCTGGATCTATCTCTTTTAATGAAGTTACAAAGGCAACCTGGCAGATAACCCACAAGTTACTCACAAGCACACAAAGGTTTAGAAGAATTCAGAATTCTGTTTTTCTAAACAAAGCAACTCCCCACAAGTTTGCCCCACGATCCCACTGTAACGTTTTCTATATATCACTGCCTCTGTCGCTGATCTGTGAAGATCAGCTCTTACGGCTGCAGACCCTGGATCTTTCACAAGTTCCTCCTTCCCAGCATTTAAAGAACCAAGGACATCAGCACCAGTTCCGCAGGCCAAACCCCTCCCTGAACCACGACCCTGGTGGAGGAGGGGCGAGACTGCGGCATGTGAAGCAGAAGGCACAGTCTGCACACACCAGCGAGGAAGTTCAGGATGTCCAGGGAAAAATGAAAACGTAAAGCATGGCTCAGGCATGCTACAGATGCACCCGCTGCAATTACAGAATCACAGAATTGCTTAGGTTGGAAAAGACCTTTAAGATCATTGAGTCCAATCATTAACCCAACACTGACAAGTCCTTGATTAAACCATATTCCTAAGGACCATGTCTATATGACTCTTAAATACCTCCACCACTGCCCATTCCAATGCCTGGTAACCCTTTCAGTAAAGAAATTCTTCCTCATAGCCAATCTAAACCTCCCTTGGTGCAACTTGAGGCTATTTCCTCTTGTCCTGTCACTTGTTACTCAATTGAAGAGACCAATACTCACCTCTCTACAGCCTCCTTTAAGGGGAGAGCAATAAGGTCTCCCCTCAGCCTCCTTTTCTCCAGAGTAAACAACCTGTTTTCTCAGCTGTTCCTCAGAAGACGTGCTCTAGATCCTTCACCAGCTTCGCTGCTCTTCTCCAGACCCACTCCATCACCTCAATGTCCTTCTTGTAGTGAGGAGCCCAAAACTGAACACAGTGCTCAAGATGTGGCCTCAGCAAGTAACAGGGCACGATCACTTCCCTGGTCCTGCTGGTCACACTATTCCCAATAAGGGCCAGGATGCATTTCCAATTAGTGGAGATCATGGGGGGAAAAAAGAAGAAAGGGGGATTTCTGTGGCTGGAAAACTTCATGTATGGCAAAGCTTGCAATGAGAAGTTTAGGCAGTGAAAATAGTGGTTTTCTTTTTATAAGAAGTACCAGTTCCAAGCCCTGCCTAGCTCTGTTTCTACCAGCAGCAGGGTGCTATTAGATGAACTGAATACAGGGCATTAGCTCCAAGAGCTGATGGTGGTATATTTGCCAAATTGCAGTTTTACCAGGAGAGTTGGGGGGGTGAGGTTGCCCAGCAGAAGCTGTGTCTGCTGCAGAACACCATGTGGGCAGCACAACAGCACCATGCACTCTCTTAAAATAGCCTGAGGGGGCCTTTGAGGAGATGGACATCCCAAGGACCACAGCTCAGCTGTAGAAACTTGCAAGGAGGAAAGAGAGCACCTATCGTGGTACTGGATGACACTGTAATCCTCCACGTGGTGGTGACGTGGTTTTAGCAAGCTTCAGAACTTCACAGTACAAGGCTTCTTTGCAACTAGTCTGTCCACACCCTGGCTGGCATGGCTGTGAATTTATTGGGGTGCTGCAGCTACCTGCTCAGTCTGTAGCCTCCCTGGCAGCCATCGCTCCTAATCCCACATGAGTGGAGACAGCAGGGATGCAGGTGAGGGAACAAGCCTACCTCCCCTTTTCCCTGAGCAGGGCAGTTGTGTGACAAACATCTCAACGCACCAAAGCACACGGCTCCTCACACAGCTTCTATTGGCGAGACAGTTCAGATGAATTGGTGTGTGTCTGTGACCGCTGGGTCACACCTTACCATGGAAATCTCAGGTTAATAGGACAAGGAATTTCTGTATCCATAATACAGGAAATGTTTTCTTGACTAAAAGGAAAGTGTGTAATCTTGTTCAAAAGTCATTTTTCTTCCTCCATACTGTATTTCAGACAGCACGGAGACAACTTGTCTAAACCATTTTCTGTCAAAAGCAGTAACTCCTGTCTGCTTTCCACTTGAAAATCCCTTCAGGAAGTGGGTTTTTTTTTTTCTTTTGCAATGGCAGGAGAGGATATATGTAGTGGCTGTCTCTTTAATATTAACATTCTGTCAGCTCTATCAAACCTTCTGTTGTTCAACTTCCCATAAAGTCCACTTTCCTTAAGCAGTCAGAAGGATGGGAATTTTAACGAAGTATAATATTCCCTACTGTATTACCCAGTCTCTAGAGACATTTAAAATATTTAAAAGAAGAAAAAAAAAGCACAAATGCAGCTAGTGTACTCAGTAGGAACTCTGGGATCTAAGACAACATGCCTGTCTTTGAGAACACATTGTGCTGCAAGCAGCATACTTCCCCATTTGGTACCAGAATCTTTGCTGGCCAGAAAACTCACCACTCCTCTCCGAGTCCTACAGGATCACCAGCCATTCCCTGCCTGCCTTTCCTGCCTCCAGTTAGATGCACAGATTGTCTTTCCAGTACACAGTCTCACTGGAAAAGGCAGTGCTGTTCCAGTTAAATTCAGCAGTAAGTCACTCCTGTAAAACTAGGGAAAAATTTGGCGATTCTCTCAGTTACTCAGGGGTTTGACAGGCCAAAACACACGCAGCTCTGTGAAACTCAGCTGACTATCATCTGAAAAAGAGGCAGGACTGCAAGGTTTGATGGAGTGACCCCAGCCACAGCACTGGAATGGTGGTTAGTAGTCAACTGGCTTCGGCAGGTTCCGACGCAGAGGCTCTCATGGCACACCCTCCCAAGATCAGCCCTGTGCACGCTACACTGGTGTATACCTTGAGCTTCTGCAACCAGGGAGAGAGGAGTCGTCCTCTGCCATGCTCTCCTGGCACACTCTGTGGCCTCTCCAGCCACTCTGAACCTCTCAGCCAGCTTAAACCAAATTTAGCAGTGGCAGAAGTCTCAAAGGTGTTTGGCATTTATAGGCTCTTCCATGACCTTCAGTGGCATAGTAGAGGGCAGGAGACCTACCAGCAAATTCTTCTGAACAACCCAAATATAAGGAGTGCTTCAATCAAAATGTGCTCATGATAAAACAAGTCCAGAAATAAAACACTGAATATATTAGCTTCAATTTTGAAAGCATATGAAAGACAAAGGCTATTGTTCCCTGCTATTCTGAGGTTGCTGGTCTGGAATGCTACCACCACTTTCCAGAAGGCATCCAAGAGGCACTTCACAGAATCACAGAGTGGTAGAGGTTGGAAGGGACCTCTGAAGATCATCTAGTTCAACCTTCCTTCTTTGTGAATTGTGCAATTTGCAGGTACCCACCTGGCACTTAACTCTTTGGAGGATCAGCACGGCAGCATGCAGAAGGTGCAGACATTGTAGGGCCCAACTTGAAACGCTAAGCGTCAAGTCAGGACAACCAACCTAGCTCCAAACTGGGGGCTTGTCTTTGTTGGAGCAAACACCATTACAGGCCACTGGAGAGTGGGCTTAAACGACCATTCCTTGGTCAGAAATCACGCAACCTGGCAAGTCACAGCAAAGCCTCTAGCACATCTTTCTCAGCTTCGAACATCTCTTGCGCACTTCAGGATTTTGTTTTCCAACGCTCATCAGACAGACAGCAAGCAAACATCGTTTTCATAGAAACTTCAAGAAACAAAAGGCACTTAGGCAAATCACTAGCTCACAACACAAGATCTACCAGTTGTAGACCACCACTCCTAAAATGCAGAAGTGAACCACGACGGACAATGTAGATCCAGTTGTCATCACTGGTGAGAAAAAGGATAGTTACTTTAAAATCCCTGTTGGTGATCTCAAGTTTCTCAAGGCTAGACCCCTCCTTCACAACTGGCAATGCATTGAGGACATGTAGGAAGACCAGTGGGAGGATTTGCGGCTCAGTTTTGCATCTGGAAATGCTAGTGCTGGGTTGCTTAGGTGGGACATAAAGGCACACAGGTTCGCCATCTCCGGCAAGTCCCAGGACATACAGCAATAGGAACAAATCTGAAAAGCCGAAGGAGGCATCAGAACTGGGTAAACACAAGAAAGTATTATCAGACTAGCCATGTTCTTCTCATTTCCCTAATAACATATGTGAAATGTCTACTAGAATACCCAGTATTGCTGAAAGGCACCATGGTTGCAGTGAAATACAGCTACTTTAACTCACATACCCAAGCTGAAGGAAAAATTGAAGTGTATTCCAGGGCTTCTTTTCAAACAGCAAAAGTATTGTACAAAAAGATTTCCCTGTACAGTAACATTAAAACAAGAAACATTAATGTCTGCATCTTGCTTCAGCTAGAATTAAATTTCACTGTAGCTAATAGAAAACACCAATGGCTGCTCTACAACAGCCCTAAAAGCAATAAAAAGGAGCTCACTGACTGTGCAGAACTGCAGATGGCTCCTACCTCTGCATCTCAAAATATATTGTGGAGTGGAAAATATTGCTCCCTTAGAAGGAAACAGAGTTCCTAAAAAAACACCATGAGGAATTATGTTGTTCGCCTGGTCATTCAAGACTTTCTACATTTCTGAAGGGGAGAGATTCCAGAGCTGCCTGTTACGAGGAACTCTTCTCCTTGTATTTCTGGTAAGCATCCAGTATCTCCTTGACGACATTTGGATCATCAAGTGTGGTGACATCTCCCATGTTGCTTGATTGTTCAGTGACTACCTTCCTCAGCAGCCTTCTCATAATCTTCCCTGATCGAGTTTTAGGAAGACGCTTCACCACCTGCAGAGAAGGGAAAGAAACACCTGTATTAGAACCGGAGTTCTGCTGGAAACCACATGGAAATTTGGCTGAAGTGTCCTAAGCCTGGGATACTACCTCATGGCTACAGCTCCTTAGAGGGTCCTGGGAAATACTAGACCATTGAGCACACTCGTTTGTGTCCATGGAAAGGAGTATCGATAACATCAATTCCTTGTGTTATAAACATTATTCTTTTTTTAAACGAACTTTGTTCCCCATTTGTTCATTGCTGTGTATCTCCAGGCTGGGTGGTGCAGGATGCACAGCTCTTTAGGGAATCAGGTCCTGAGTAAGCTGTTAACTACTGAACTAGAAAGCTAGTTACACTTGAAAACTCAGGCACTGATGACGACACAGATCTCAACACATCACCAGAAGAGACAGACATAATCAACTTCACAGGGTAGGGATACAAAGCACACAACACTGCACATAAAGCTACAGCGATGGCTACTCAAGGGATAACTCCTGTCCGCTGATGTTCCTCTTTGCCTGATTATATACCTGTCAGCCTGCACGCCTTCTTACATAACCAGAAGAACGCTAAAACATCTCAGCTACGTTTCCTGCAAAGGACTTAGCAGCAGATTCAAAGGCTTTAGCATAAAACTTGAGCCTGGTAAAGAGTTCTCAGGCAGGGAATAGAGACACTAGCAGGTCTTGGATTTTGCTCCATGATCAGGCCAGCAAGCCACAAAACTCCAAAGTGTTAACTAACATGCAAGGTAAGAGTTGTAGGACTTTTTTTTTCAGGACTGTTTCTCCAAACACCGGGAAATAGAGGCGTTTCTCTGAAAACTTGCAAGTTCTGGAAGCTGCTCCAATCCACTGAAGAGATCCTGCGCTGTTCCAAGTTGAATGAGCCATACTGCCCTGCTCCTGCTCCATAACCTGTGTCTTGGTGTTCCCCTTCCCAGCATGTGGCTAAAGTAAAGCCATTCAAATAAGTGGTCTGGCCATTGCCTCCAAGCAGAGAGTGGCATGGGTGCAGGCAGGCCTCGGGGGGCAGCGAAGGCGAAGCTTTTTGCCCTCTCCCTACATAAAGGGAGCTGCTGAAAGGTGAGGAGGCTTGAAACAGAGCACAGAGTTCATCTGTGCTCCCCAGGTCAGGCTGAAGAGCTGTCAGTTAGGCAAGAGGAACAGCCAGTGCTTCAAGATCTGGGGTTGATGCTAATTATCAATGCAAAACAGCTGGGAATTGAAAAGTGTCACTCTGCCTCTCAGTGATGCCGAAGTTTGTGACGTTTCTCCAGAGTTTAGTGGGTGTATATCCAACCCATTGCACAGGGCCACAGAGAGCAGTGCTACAGTGCTTTAGCAAGGGGTTAGCTGAGGGCAAGATCTGTACGGAGCAGTAACGCTGCTGCACGATGAACAGGGACATCAAGCACATCTTGAGGCTCAGGCTGGGTTCCCCTCTGCTAGAGCTTTTGCCAGGTATGGTTCTCTCAAAACTCTGTGCACATCCCATTGAAAGGGTTGTTCAGCACTTGACCCAAATGGAGCAGCCTCAGGGTAGCTCTAAAACACGCTCTGGAGCAACCCCACCAAGAAGGTGCTGGAGCAGGCTGGAGCACCTGTAATATTCCAGCCACCTTCTGGGTCACTGCTGATCCTCAGGCATGCAGAAGGAGCACATGCAGACCACGGCGCCTGCCCTCCCCTACCTAGGGATCCCTCCAGGTAGCTCCGTTTTCCTGCTTCTTCATCCTGCCAGAGAGGGACAACAGCAGCACTGCAGGCAGTAAGGTGAGGTTTGTTCAGTGTGATCATTCCTGTTCCTGGTAGCGGT